AGAGAGAGAGAGAGAGAGAGAGAGAGAGAGAGAGAGAATACACGTGAGCCAGAGAGGGGCAGTGAGAGGGAGAGAGAATCCCAAGCAGACTCTACCCTGTTAGCCCAGAGCTAGACATGGGGCTCGATCTCATGAATCATGAGATCATGACCTAAGTCAAAATCAGGAGTTGGATGCTTAGCTGACTGAGCCGCCCCGGTGCCCCTTATACATACATTTATAATTATACTATTATAATTACCTCACCTTCCCAAACTTAAAGATCACAACTAAACCTGGTTCCTGAAGGAAATATTGAAATATAACCCTCTAGATTTGGGCTTGCTTGACTGAGTAGGTGAATCACAGTGCCACTGACTCAAATCATGAATACAGAGGGAAGAGCCAATCTGGAGGGAAAAGGTAGTGAATTCAAAATCAGACATGGGTTTCAGATACCTGTAAGACATTCCTGATATATATTTCCCTCAGTCATGTGACTCATTCCAATAGTCAGAAGAAGACTTATACACCAGTACCTGGTATGTACTCAATAAATATTTGGTGTTTGAAGAAGAAACCAAACATTCCACCTTCATAAAAAACAGTAAAATGTAAGTTATTTTATTACATTTTACTTACTGACTTATTAATAGGTCAGTAGCCTTATTTTCTCACATAGACGACAGGATAGAATATTGTTCCAACTAAGAAAAAAGAAATGATACAAACTCAAGACCTGATTTAAGATTTTAAAAAACCCATACTCCTCAAATCTTACACTTAAGGCCTGCCATTGAATTAATAAACAATGTGGTAAGCATTTACATCATGCAAAAGCCCCAAACAAGCCAGGCACTCCGGGGATATAACAAATGAACTACAACTCCTGCTCTCTAGGAGCCTACATGTGATGGCAGAGAAAGGTTACCACTTAGGGAGGTCAAGGCAGCTGTCTGGGCAACAGATGGTAAGAGCCTGAATTAGAGAGCAACAAACAGTGAGAGCACAAAGCAGGAATACTTAGCTTTAGATGGACTGACAGGATATGACGCTGCAGAAGTAGTTTCTTGATCTTTGAAACTAGCACACAGGAAGCACTGAGACTGGGTTGACAAAATGTCTCATCTTCCTTTCTTTTGCTTCCAAATAAGCCTCTAAGAAGAGTGGTTGCATGATGCAGTGGAAGGAGGACTGGACTGGGATTTAGGACACCAGAGTTCTAATCATGGCTTTACCATTTGTGAACCTATTACCTTGCAGGGCCACCTACCATATAACATGAGAGCCTTGGCCTTCACCCATTCATCTCTAGGAAAGGCCTGAGCACCTATCATGTGCTAGGCACTGGGGATACAGATGTGTCAAGAAGAAATAATATCCCCACTCTCCTGGATCTCACAGCTTAATAGGGAAGTCAGACCAGACAAATAATACACAGAAAGAGATACATCATAACAGGTAGTTATGAGAGGACAGAGGGACTGAATTCAGACCAGGAAAAGTGTCCCTTTCAGTTCCAACGCTCTAGACTTGGCAGAGAACGACCCGGTGTAGTGTCAAGAGCATGGACTTCAGACCCCAGAATACTTGGGTTCAAATCCTGGCTTCTGACACTAGCAACGTGTCACCTCGGGCAAATTACTCAACCTCTCTGTGTCAACTAGGATTAACAAAAACAGTTCTTGCTTCATAGGATTGCTGCGCTTGGTCTGCTTGAAGAACGGTGGTAAGGGCTGAGTGTCTGAGATGAATATCTGCTGCTATTATCAATCATTCCCAATAACGCTTTCGGCCCCCCACTGTCCATACTCACCGCTTGCTCATTCCTCATCCCGACATATCCGATGCCCATCTTCTGGGCCGCAACGGCGATTTCGGTCACTGGGATGCCTACGATGCCAAACATGTACTCCACCTCCTGGGGGCCAAGAACAGGGGAGTAAATGCCCGGGCCCGCGCCACACCGTTCCCTCCCGGGGCGCTAAAAGGAAAGCCTCAAGGAAAACCTCCCCACCTCCCACCGCACCGCACCGCACCGCTCTCCTTGTCTCCAAGACAACGTCTCCGC